TTCCTTTCACCTCGCTTTTCAGCAGCATTGGAGCTAAGATATGGCTGGGTGAGATGACTTCCTTCTCTCGTGGTTTCCCAGTCTCCTCCCCTCCCTGTCCCGCCTTCCAATCCTCTATCCTCTTTTCCCTGACACAAAGCTGTTCGATTGTTTATGAATGTCAGCTCAGTGCTGCCAGCACACTCTACCCCCACCTCCATTCCTCCCTCCAGGCTCCTTCAGTCTCTCTTCCTCCCTTCCTCCTTATCTCTCTCCAATACTTCGCTTAGTGTGCAAAGGAAGAACGACTGCAAATGAGTTCCTTGAACCACAGGGACCCCAATAAATAAAACTGTCAGCCAGAGATGTCGAAACGTGGGGGTGGGGTGGGGGGTAGAAGCCAGAGGCACACTCTCGCTGAATATTTCATCACACACCACCACCACTCTTGACACCCTACCCCCATTGCCCGCATCCTCCATCCCCCATTGCCATCCATGTTCCCTCATGCCATTCTTTCTCTCTCCCGTCCCCTCCATCTTGTCGACACCACTCCTCCCTCAGCTGCCCCTTATCATATTCTTTCCCCCATTATTGCGTAGCAACTAAAGCCTCCTGCTTAACAAAATACCGCCTCCTGGACACCAGCGGGTAAAACTAAACAATGATGGCAAATGGCTCTTATGGCTGTTGTTATTGAGGTGGCTGAAAATCTATTGAGCTCTCTCTCTCTCTCTCTCTCTCTCTCTCTCTCTCTTTCTCTGTCTTTTTTAGTACCAGGATCTTTTTAAATGGTGCATGGAAAAAAGAATAAACATGTCTTTGCTGTTTCTGTTGAGTATAATCAACCATATATGTTATCACAAAGCACCCACCTGCTTTTTCAATAAGGAACTCCTCATCTCTTTACATCGTCACTTCTGCATTAAGGGAACAATGATGGGCTGGCTTTTCTCTTTTTCTCTTAACACAACAGTAGTAGGGCCCTCCGCTCTTTTCTTATCATAGCTATCTAATACAGACGGCCATGAGAACAGAAATAAATGGGGAGGTCTGAGACTTGGATGCATTTTACATAATGCTGTTTTTGAGTAAAACCAAAACCTTTGAATCTAGTGTCCCCTTTACACAATGCAGATTTTAAGTGAAACTGTTGCATTTATGTTGTGGTTCTGCCATGTATATGTGACAGTCATTCTATCAGGTGCCAGAGTGCAGCAGCCAAACAACAGCTGATAGTAAAGTTCAGTTTGTGCTACACTCCCATTTTCAATTTGTAAAAGCAACCCCACTTCATCCTTGGTCCAAACGATGGTTCCTCTACTCACCACTTTGGATGCACCAGTTTTCATACTCGAGACTGAAGTGTGTGTGTGTGTATGTGTGTGTGTGTGCTACTGAAAGACAAAAATCACAGCGCCAGCTATGATCTGGCATGGAAACTACAGCAGATTTAATGAACGTGATTCTTAAAAAAATCTTTTGACAGAATCAACATTAGAAAAACCCTAGTGTTTCCAGCGATCGGTCCACATGTAAACACGGCCTTAAAGACGAGCCGTGRAGCTCTCTTTTGTTTGCCTGTGATGTTCCAGAAAGCTCTGTCTGGTGTTCATCCTGACGTCAGTGGTGGCCAGCTACATTAGCTGTCTTGGCTGTGCTGTTGAGAGCAGACAGGCATGTTTGGACTGGTGCTGAGCTGCTAGCCGAGACCCCTGGAAATCATTTGCAAGGCCAGCTCTCCAGCACCAAAGATCCACGCCCCCATCCCTCTTTTCCACACACACACATGCACACATGTAGGCATACTCGTCGACACATTTCCTCCCCTCGTTTTTCCCCTCATATTCTCTGTCTGGAAAAGGCTTGTTGTTACACGATCACTGGTCAATCTAGCCTCTGGCAGGCAGGCTGCACTCTATCATCCTCCGCCTCCTTCCTTCTCTTAAGAGACAGGAACTATTTCAGGTGTTCCACTCCACAGCTTTCAGCCCCCCCCCCCTTTCTTTTTTCTTCGTGTGTGTTGTTTTAGTATTGTCAGGGAAACGGCATGTTTTGAGAGGAAGAATTTCACACCTAAAGGTTTYTGGTGGTTTTGTCCTTTTAGGTTACAGAAATGGGCCATTCAAATCGCTTTTGAGAAATCTCCTGTCATTTTTTGTCTTCTCTGCTGATGAGGTATACACATTTGTGTGGGTTTTTGGCCTTTTCATTTCTTGTCTGAAGTTGAGGTTGTGGTGGGTGGTGTGTGCGTCTACGGAGACCCCTTGTGAGTTTCACGCACAAACACAGTTTCACAAATTTTTAGCTCTTATGCAAGTGACAATTAACACGGCTTGTGTGAGCAACTTCCAAATTGACTTTGAGTCAACAACTGAGAGTCTTGGAGTGACTAAAATCAAATGGAGGAAAAAGAAGAAGGGAAAAAAAACAAGGTGCGAGGAAGAAKGCTCGTCTTTCTCACAGGCTAATTTGAAGCCTGCCATGTGGTGCTGTGAGCTCAGTAGGAGTACATGAATTTCATCTTGGTGGTTTTGAATAATCCACACTAGTCATTATAAATGTAACCAAGCCTCCTTTTTGTTTCTCCTGCTGTCACTCACTGTCATCTATTTTCTCTCACTTTCTCTTGCCTGCGCTTGCAAATACTCAAAGAAAAACKGAGGGAAGAAAACCAAAGTCCCTGTTTAGACTTGGGAAAAATTGCATCTCAAATGGTTCTTTTGGGGAAAGTGTCAACAGTCAAAGTGCATTTATGCGCTCTGTGTTTTTCAGCAGACAAATTTGCACTCCTGACACACGCAGTGACCGGAAGCAGATGCGCATAAAGTTAAAGGTGGTCCACTCCTTCTGAACACAAGAAATTAAACACATTTTTAGCAGTGGACAGGATGGAAGGATTCACTCAAGTTCACAATTACGATTGTCGTCTTTTTTTTACATAATGAATTGTAGACATCAAGTATCAAACTGAATAAATCTTAAAGACATAACTTACTGTACAATAAATGAAATCGATTAATTTTTATGAGTCGATTCACATTTTAAGTGTTTATAATTATTAACAGGCTCGATAAATTGTTACATCCCTTGTGGACGTTGCTTTTTTGCTGCAGATAAATCTAATTTGTGCAGCAAATATTTACTTACTCTGATGCCACAAGTGAAATAACTGTRTCAACTAGATTTGGGCTCATCGCGGATGGATGTAGATATAAAGTCAGATGAGTTATCAGGAGCATAGACAGTTACTCATCAGCCCTTCCCCCATCTCCAGACACTTTTCTAAACCCTTGTAATTTATGGTCTCCCTGGGGTTCCTTTTTACGCATCTAAGTGTTGGCAAACTGTTGACTCATCCTCCTGACAGCTGTCAGTCACTGACGCAGTCATTGCATCCACCCTCCTCTTCTCTTTATTTTCTCCTTCCCCTCAACAACCTTAGGGGTCTGCCCCCTCCCATGATTCTCATACATAAACACACACGTCTCTGTCAGACAACCCTGGCCTGTCCTCCTCCCCACCTTTATGCCACACCTTGCACATGTTGAGTTTGACTAACTATGATGAGGAAATCGTCATGGGTGTGGGCTATTTCAACAATTTGTCAGTGTGTTTTTGTTTCTCCTGAATGCTAATTGTTGCTGCTTTACTGTTTGGTTATTTACATTTTGAATTGAAGTCATCGGATCAGCCAACGCCGCAGTCCTGTCACTTGCCTCGCCCATTTTTTTTTCCACCATCCACTTTTCCATTCTGTGTCATTACCATCGTTCAAAGGTCACCCTGGCAAAAGAGAGGCAGCAATTAATAAAGAAATAAATCAGCAGAAGGAAAATGTTTCAAAGTAATTCAAAATTTTATGGAATTCAAGAGCCAAGATTTTAAAAAGACACTTTATAAATGTACAAAGTCTGTAGGGAGTATTTGTCCTTTTTTTGTTTTCTGTGATTTCCCATTATTTCATCCTCATTTCTTGTAATCTTTCTGTGCTCCTCGCTGCCTTCTATTGCCTTTTCCTTTTGTATTTCTGTTTTTATTTCTCTCGGGACTAGAAGCGCGCAGGCATTTGGGGCTTTTGAAGTCTTTTTAGAATGGAGGCATCACTTTGCATTTGCCAATTTTGGTTGTTTCTGTTGTTTCTGTTTGTTTCTATTTGGAGATGATACAAAATGTCATTACTGCCGAGTCTTTTGACCTCCTGACTTTTACTCAAAATACACACACACACATATACACACACACACACACACACACACACACCAACAGCATAGTTTCAACATATAACAGTGAAGCAAAAGGNACACACACACACACACACACACACCAACAGCATAGTTTCAACATATAACAGTGAAGCAAAAGGCACGCAGGAGGTGGACAAAAGGCCATTTCTTGTTTAGTGTGAATACCCCAGCCAAGTCATGACAWCTAAGCTATTCTGTGTGTGTTTGTGCGTGTCCATCCTGGCCATGTGTGGGTCAGCAAGGGCTTCCACACTTGGTCCTTGTTAACCATTGCCAAAGCTCCAAAAATGGGCATCCTTTCCAGATCCGTTGCAGATCTTCAGACAATTGGCTATTCTGTGTTTGAGAGGCAGGCGGGGTGTATTTCCTGAATGTGGGACTGATTTTTCAGGCTATGAGCCAGACAGAAGGGTGGCCTTTGTCTCTAAGCTGAATGACTCTGCTGACTAAGAGCAGATCCAGAGGCAGTTTGAAGTGGGCGAATAGGGCACTCTCTTTTTATTTATATATAATATAGAATGGTAAATGAGTGATGATGGTTTCAATGGACAGTTGTATTTAGTTTAACTACTCCTATCCATGGTACAAAGTTTTCATTTACCAAGAAGGAAGTCAATATTCAAACAGAGACTTTGTCCTTTTTTGAAGTAGTCATATAACAATGCAAAAGTACAAACACATTTAGAGGTCATTTTTCTTTGTTTTCTCATTTGTTAAAGCTGGACTCAAATTAAGTTATTAAAACATTTTCCATCTCTTTGTGTGTGGGTACAGGTCAGTGACTTCCTGTCCGGCCGCTCTCCTCTCACCCTGGCGCTGCGAGTCGGTGACCACATGATGTTCGTCCAGCTCCAGTTGGCAGCACAACAATCTGGTACTCCCCAGCTCCAGCACAGGCACCTCATCACCCGGGGCAACGCTGAGGCGGCCATGGGTCAGCCCACAGGGCAGCCCCGTGTTCCCCATACTCACCCACACTCCCATCACCACACCCCCCACCAGCCACACAATCATCCCAGCCCCCATTTATCTCAGCCTCAACTCGTCCCGGCCTCTCCAGGCTCCCCTTCTTTCCCCTTGCCCCCCACACACCACCAGCCGCTCCCTCCCATGRACCACCAGTCGCCCTCCTCTGCTCACTGTAGCCCCCCTACTCCCCCACCACACTCCCCTCGCCCTTCCCATGTCCCTGGGGGTCTTTACCGCTCTCCAGCTCATCATCATCATCATCATCACAATCACCATCATCACCACCACTACCACCACCAGGCCTCCTCAGGCCAACCCAGCCACGATGTCGGCCAGGTCAGCCCCGTAGCTCCTGTAGTCCTCTGTCCTGAGGTGAGAGCCACAATATTCTTTTGTTGTTGTTGTTGTTGTTGTTGTTGTTGTTGTACTGCTGGGGCTTATGTAGCTCTGTGGTCAGTAATACAGACTCTTAAAGTGCCTGTGACATGCATGAAACACAAAAAGTCAAAGAAAATATGTTTATGTTTAAGAAACTTAGCATAATACACATGATTTGACCCATTATGTTACATAATTGGCATATTTTCTTTTGAATTTTGCTCAGCTAAAGTGAAACAGGAAGTGATATCAAAGGGGAATTCTTTGAGAAAGAAAAATCGCTGGTTTTTGTTTATTGAAACATTATTATTTGAATTATGACTCTTTCTCATCTCTCTATGATAGTGATTAAAATATAAAAAAACAGATTATTTTCTACAGTCTGTGCTGTTAGCCGTTTTAGCAATGCTCTGTTTACATTCAGACTTTCTCCTTTGACATCACTTCCTGTTTCATTACACGAGAATATCTCAACAACTGTTCATCTCAGCGGCATGGAATCTTTTTTACAATATGTTATCAATGTTATCTTTCCGAAAATACATTCATAATCATTAGAAAATTTTGATGTCACAGGCACTTTAATCCTGAGGCTACATGTTRGAGTCCAAGATGAGTGAGGAAGACCAATTGCCATAAAAACAATTGCCAATTCTTTTGTGCGATTTCACTCACTGTGGCGACCCCTCCAGAAGGGAGCAGTCTTACTTTCTTGTACTATTTGTGTTACTAAAGAGAGAAATACTCAGTGTTTAGAATATCATCTCATGGTTTTTGCTGTTACAGTTGGTTGATTAAAAGGTTTTGAGTAATAAAATGACTTCCTGACTTATGTGAACAGCTTTGACTAATAAATAATGAGAAGATAGAACATGACTGTCTGACCAGTATGTCATGCTTTCAAATGCATAATTCTCCATTAAATAAATCAGATTATTATAGAGTGATCCTATGGTTTATTCAGGTCTGTGGAGGGTTTGCAAAATAAATAAAAATAGATTCCATCAATATTTTCTCTGTTGGTGGTCAGTATTTATTTAACTTATATCCACCTTCCTTCAGTCCAGCCTGTTGAAAGTGAAATTGACCCAAATGTCAGTGAACTGTGGGAGAGACGGTTCACAAGAGGGCAAAAGTGAACACAGCTACTTAATGCTTAAATAATGGAAATGGCCATTCCTCATCAGGCTACTACACACGTAAACGCACTCAAACAAAGAGGTCTTTGCTGGGGTTTCAGTTTCCCTCTCACATGTCAGTTAACAAATCTCAGTTGAGCTGAGGTGGAGTCACAAAGGGTGTTGGATTTGTTCAATCGCAGTACGACGTAACTTGATATCCGCAGTCTTAGCACAAACCCAGGTTGTCAGTTTTCACAGGTTTCTTTCTTTTAGCCATTAGCTTTTACTACACAAAATTAGTCACTTGCTGCAAGACTGAACTTTGATTGCAAATGTGCATGTTTTATACTAAAACGGATCATCATCTTTTGTCTCTACCTTGAATCGCTCCTTTAGGCTAACTGCAGCCCCAGCAGCCCCACCAGCCCCAGCAGTGGCACTAGTTCCTTGCCACGTTCACGTAAACCTGGTGCCATCATTGAGAGCTTTGTCAACCATGCTCCCGGAGTCTTCTCAGGGACTTTTTCAGGTGAGAAGACACTAAGCTGTTTAATTAATTGTTAAAAATTCAAACACACTGAGATTCAATCGAAAGTCTTTGTTGTTGCATCGTTTTTTTTACAATAATCTCAAAATTAAAGGCAAATTTCTCTGCTTAAAATTAGAATTGATTTTTTATGCTTATTTATGACACATAAAATGCTAAAAAAATAGTTTGGTTATATGTTTGCACCAATCTAAATACATGTTACTTATAACTCTTTTTGTTTTATTGCTACTTCTTTCAGGCACTTTGCACCCTAACTGCCAGGACAGCAACGGGCGTCCAAGAAGGGATATTGGTACCATCTTACAGATCCTCAACGACCTTCTGAGCGCCACACGCCACTACCAGGGCATGCCCCCCTCCCTCACCCAGCTCCGCTATCAGACCCAGTGTGGCTCACCCACATCCCCGTCCCCCTCACCGCCCCCTTCGCCTCCAGTCGTTGGCATGACGGGTCTCTCTGCCAAAGCTACCTCTGTGCCTGCTGGCAGCCCTGGCAGCCCCGCTCCAACTCTCCATCCACTGGTGCAATGCCAGAGCCAGATCCGCATGTGCAAACCCCCCGGTGAGTGACTCCACTCCACCTTCTCATACACATATTTTAAGAACACAAAGAGGAACTCTCACATGTACCATAAGTCTTTGTTCGTCTCTTGAAGCCCTAATGCCCTCATGAGGCAGATGTTCCTGCAGCTGCCACAGCTTCGTCGGAGTTTATGTGTGTGTGTGCATGCCCATGAGCACATTTGTGTGTTAAACAAAGAAACCCAATATTTTTGCAGAGCTCGGCCTCTTGTTTTGCAGAAATTGTCATCTCTGCCTTTCTTTTTCYATTCTCATAGTGCATCATGGGAAGCTCAGTTCTGTTGGGATGTTTTTGTTCTGTTTTCAAACGCTTATCTTTATCTTTTTAAAATACTGACAAAGCAAGAACAGAAACATCAAACAGAAGAACTGAAAACAGCCGTGCATTTGTCTCTCTTGTGGTTTGGAGCAAATGAAAAGAGTAAGAAGAGAAGAAAGGGGGGTCTCCTATTAAAGTAATGCAATACAAGCTTTTTCCAGGCCTGTTTAGTCAGGCTTCACTTGTCAGTCAATCTAGCTGGCTTTTGTTTTTGTGCGTCAAGGAGATAGGTTTACCTCTTGAAGCATGGGCTGGGCTATGTTTAGATTAGATTAAGCTTTGGGTTATTTAACCTGCATTGTAAAGAAGTGCTGCAGCTGGGACATGTAGGAGCTGGACACACCTTGACATATTAATTCTAGAGGGCAGGGCCGGGGCAGGTGTTGGAAGTTCACTCAATACCATTTTATGAACAGGGCTTGGATGTTTTAAAACCTCTCTTCCTCGCAGCAACACAGGAAGCTGGTTGTCAGACAGATGTCCACCTCTGATAACATTCAGTCAGTGTTGTATGGTTAGACTGGCTGCATTGTCTTCAGCTGAGGAAATCAAAGCAGGTTTTGGTGAAACGCTCATAAATCAAAAGTTTGAGAATGTTCTTCTTGGGAAGTTCTCAAATACAACCGCTAATGTTTAATGTTGTGTTTAAAATCAGATTGAGCATAGGCTTTCATTGTTGTATTCTGGCTCTCTCCCATGATGCAACACGCTCAGTTGGAAGCATTTCAGTTTTAACATCTGAACACAGACTCACTGGGATTGTCCACTATTCAACTGCATCACCCTGAGTGCCCTCGCAAGTATTCACTGAACAGTTGCAATAACATAGACTTATTTTCCTAGCTCAGGGAAGACCATTCCTTCYCTGCCCCCGCCTACACACTCGCCCCGCCGTTTCCCTCCTCTCCTGCTCTTGCCATCTCTCTTCCTCCGTTCTCAGCAACACACACCACAGTTTGCCCCCACCCCACCCCCCATTTGCTGTCCAAAAACAGCCTTGTCTGTTAAATCCATCTCCCCGTCCTCCTCCTAATCACCCCTTCTTTTTTTTCCATGTCTGTATTGTGCATCAATACATTGTCTGTGTCCGTTTGCGCTTTAAATAGATTTATTCCAAAACGCAGCTCTGAAAGGAATTTGCTTTGTGGACTCAGCAGCAGTGAGAGGCGAAGGCTGCGGAAGACGGGGGTTGTTAAAACCACAACACTAAGCCTCCATATATCCTATGGGTGTTTATATCCTGCTCATCAGTCCACTTTTTAAAATTGAGTCAAAGGGTGACAGAATAGTCCGACTCACTGCATTTTCTCAATTTACCACCTTTCTCTAACTTTCTGCTTACCATATATTTCTGCATAAAGCTATGTTAATGGGTGGTGAACGGTGTGTACCTAAACCATACGTCTATTTGTATCCTGTTCCACATGGTGTCTAAAGAAGCTGATGACTAAGCGCTTACAGGCAGTCTTATCAGTCGACATCCGATGAAGGGCTTTCTGGACTTAACACAACAGCTTAACTCAGCTACACAGAAACTTGTATTCATTCAGCTGCAGGGAGAAAAAAACCTGCACTTCTCATCTGCCTGAATATGTGTGCACAGTCAAACCAGGTTGAGGCAGGCTCTTGAAAATGTCACATAGCTTGGCTGTCTCTTGAGAGCCTTTACCCTTTCCACTGCAAGTTCACGTGTGGGGTGGAGGAGACAAGTGTAAAAAAAAWWWAWAAAWAAATAAAAAGSTGGAACAGGCACACACTCTTAGCTATAAGTCTTGTACAGCTAGCTTTGGCTGAATATTACTGCTGAGTTGAGGGGATTTGTCAACCCTGGACTTGTTTGAATTTGAATGGGGGTGGWCTTTAGGATGGCTTGGCTGACTGATTGTTTGCCAAATTCCTTTATGGCGTAGGATGGACCTTCCCATCGTTTACCCTGCAAAACTTGTCTCACTAGCCTCCTGCACAGGCTAACCCATTGTGTGAAGGCTGGGGACGGGCTGTGTATGAAGCACCATGCTTCATGCTATTATCAGGCCAAACAAGGTAGACCTYTTGGAATATATGACTGCCTTTTAGACATTTGTTTACCTAAAGCTGCTATAGCTTAAAAAAACGGGCAGCAAACTCTGACAAACTGAAGTGTCTTTTTGTCATCCTTTAACTTGCTTTTGTCTCCTTTTTTTAAAGTCATGTTAGCTTCCCTAAGGCTAGGATCAAGTAAGCCAATGAAAGAGGAAGAGAAGGTGAGAGAAAGAGGATAATTTGCATTTTAACTTCTTAAGTTCTGAACGGTATCTTTCTTAAAACAAACCAGTTTTTGCTAGGATACACATGGTCCACTAACCTGACAAGTGACTTAGCGACATTATACAGCTACAGAGTTATCTAGGAAATTCAGCTCYGCACATTAGGTGCCCTTTCATTGTCAGCAAGGATGAGAGGGAAAAAAAGGGCAGGAGAATGAATGCAAATGAAGTCTAAAAGTCATTGAAGATCTTGTGTCCCTGCAGGGTTGTTTGTGCCCTTTACTGCCTGTCAGAATATTAGCTCTGCTTTGATTGGTTGTTTTAGTGTCTGTCTCAACGGGTAGTTTAGTTTTTGTTTTCCAMTGCGTGAAACTGAGTAGCTTGTTTCTGTCCACACAGTTTTTCAGTAATTTATAGCTGAATTGTGCACATTGAGTTATTGGACCCTAAAAGGCTTTGATGGTCACAGAGGGTTTGATTTGATTTGATGTGTTGCTGCCATTGATTATTGGCTTTTACTTCGTATAAGAAATTTGCAAAGCAGGCTTTATGTTCACTGACTTCCCATTGTAAAATACCCATATATTGTAAACCATTTGACAAGTTATAATCTWGCATGTCAGACAGTAGTGATAAAGGAAATCAAGTCTGGCTGTGCTGCAGTGTGATTCTCCTTCCTCTTTTTTTCCTTTCCTTTGCCTCTTCTTTTATGTCTGCCTCTGTCCACCCCTCCCTTTTTGCCCCTGTTCCCTGGATGCTGAGCAAACAGTGTTCTCTTTGCAAGATCACAAGACTCATCAAGACAAACAAATAAACAACGGCAATAAGACAACTGCAAATGAAGGCCAATCTTTATACAATCAATAGGCGGAGAAGCTCCTTTAATCTTCTTCTGTGTCCTGCACACTGCCGCCCTCCTCCCTCTTTCTTTCTCTCCCACCATCCTCTGCTTCTACTCCATCCACCCACTCCTCCCCCCCACTCCACCCCCCAGTGTGCTCCCTATCTCAGTCCTTGCTGTGTTGCTGGGCTGGGCTCGTAGACAAGGAAAACTGACTGACGCATTGATTATTCATGGATCACTCCTTCCTTCTCTGCATGGTTTTTCTTTGGGTTTCTCTGCAATGCCCCGTGCTTATTTTTTTACAAGGCCTCCTTCAAAGTCTTTAGTTTTGGGAATTTTGGTGTGTGACTTGTGAACAAATACGTTAGAGTAAGAGTGTGAGGAGGCTGCCATTTCCTGCTTCCATGTGCCCTTGACCCATCTTCTTTTTGCTATCTTCCCTTGTGCCTTTCTAAGAAAAGAATCATTGTTGCTTCCTCATTTGTCTTTTGTGTGTCATTAAAAGGTTCTATAAGAGGATGGCTTCTCTATGCATTTCTATCTTTGATTCCCCATGTCTCTGGGTCCTCCAAGGCTATTTTGCTAACATCAAAACACTATTCAGCCAGGCTGTGTATGCGTGTATGCATTTGTGTGTTGAATGAAAAGCTTGTTCTTTTTTATTATTAAACTCTAATAATAGCCCTACTGTCATAAACACAGTCTGGGGATCCCTGTGACCAGCTGTGTCCAGCCCAGCCGCCCAGTGCTCCAGTAGTGACGCTGTTGAATGTCTACTACTGTCATAGACATAAACACACACAAGTTTGGTGAAGGTCTAAGCACATTCCCAGAAGTCCTGCTAAGCCAAAGGCCAAGACCTCCTGCTGGACCACCAAACTGTCCTTTTGTGTGTATGTGTGTGTGTGTGTGTGTGTTCTTGTAGTTTCCTAAGTTCGGAACAGATGTACCATTTTGGAAACCGAGCTCACACATGTTAACTGAACATGTGCACAGAAGCTGAGGGACTCTTAACCCTAGAACTGTCTTTTAAAATCTGTGATTATTTGGCAACACCGATGCCAAATGAGTTTTGGCTTTCAACGAAACCCTCAGCAGACTCTCCAGTCCCAAGCATGAAAAGCGTTACAGCTTAAATGGTGAATTCATGAAACTTTTGTTTGGACTGAGGATGAGGCGAATGAGGTTGGGTTGTTCCTACTTGTTTTAAAGGGTGAGCAGCACGAACAGAATTCTGCCATTGTTATGGTTGTAAATCGACTCGCAGAAGCGCAGAAAAACTATTGACTGCTGCCGCCGATAGTCAGCACGCATGATTTCACACCTCTGCAGGCTRCAAGAACCTCCACTCTGAGAGCAGGATTCGAAAAGTTTTGATTTCACAGAAAACTAGCACAGTTGTCGTGCACATGAACGACCAAACTAAAGCAGAAAGGCTTCTCTTAGAAGTCAGCGTTGTATAAACTATGACCAAGAGCCTGGTGAAGTAAAGAGACGCCACAAAAGAAAATCTTTTCAGACAAAAATATTTTTGTATGTAGGTATACTTTGGCTTTCTGCCCTTTCATTGTGTATGGCCACATTTCAACACGGCCAAGGAGCGGTTTCTCTTTTTGGCTGCTCAGAAGAGAGAATAAGGAAGTAAAGGAGGACCAGAGGGGGAACAAAACCTTCTGGTTCTGTGAATGTTACATGGTGGTGAAGCAGACAAATCATGGCTGTAATGAAAGGGAGCCCCCTCTCCTCCCYTGTCCCCTCTGTTGTCTAGAGATGACACACTGCCTTCACACAGATTGCACATGGCATCTGGATGCACATGTATGTTTGTGTCAGGACTGTCAGGAAATGGAAAATCCCCCCAGTCTGTCAGTATAAATGACTTTATTGTACGAATCTTTTCTGTTATCCTCATGACACTGTGCACATTTTTTTCCTCTCCATTCAAAGAGTTGTTTACTCTAGTTAATCCTACCAGACTGTGGTGAATATTTACTTATTTAAAACTGAAGAAAAGGCTGTGCACTGGACGACTCGATAAGCAAATGAGAGTAAGAGGTACACGAAGCCCACACCGGGTCCGGAATTCATTCCGATGGAGGGAAAGGCTGGAGGAGGCCATGATCGATTCTGCAAACTGACACCTATGGCCGATCCTTTACCCGCAACCTTTTTCCTCCTCCTCCATCCCCCACCTCATGCCTCAGGGGGAGGAATTCCTTAACCCACATTGCCATACCCCTCCTCTCACCCCCTCGTTCCACTTCTCTGCACAGCCCTACCTAGCTGTCTCTGGAGAGATGTGGGGCAAGATCTGCAAGTGGGAGGGGTATGTGAGGGGCCTTCTGTTCGTGTGTGAGGGGTGTAAAGGGTGTAATAGTAAGGGGAAGGGGGGCAATCAATGAGCTGAGAGATGGAAGCTAGAGCCATAATAAAGAAAAAAAGAAATGGAAGGGGAAAAAAAACAATTTCAGCCCCCCTCTCTCTTTCTCTCTCTCTCTCTCATCGCTTACAATTTCCATTCGCTTGCATTTTCTATTGAAAGCCAATAGCGTTGTCCTGGGTCTGAGATGGATGGCTGCACTAGAGCTAAGGTTTAATCAATAGGTCTTTTTAATTTGCCATCGATCCACGTTAAAAGCTACTGCGCCTCTCGGTGCTGTCGCTGTAAGTGTGTGCGCGCACGCACCTTCTGAGCACGTGCTCGTGCGCAGCCGCATCTTTGTGCGTGCGTGACTGTGTGTGATGTAGTCGAACGTGGATTGGAGTGTGTTTGTGTGGGTTCTGATGCACAGCGAAGGCAAATATGGCCGCCGTGCGTTGGTTTATTGACATTCTAGCCCGTTATTTAATTATTTAATTCCCAGACAGATACTAATGGAGCTAGCTAATAGATTCCAAYCCTTCGCATATATGTATAAATGGAATAAGGCTTGACTTGGCCGGTGTTGGAGAGCATTCACAGTGCAACGCAAGGCCTGTCCCTCGAGACCCAGCTGTCCTAAAGGCATATCAACAGCTAGAAATGCACTGGGAAGCACACCCAGTCACTGAAACATGTCACATCTAATTGTGTTTGCAGATATCATAGGCAGCCATGAGAATGTGCCATGTTTTTTTCCCCCTTTTGACCCTGCTGTTGGTTCCCAAAGAAACTGTTCTAAGAGGATCTACCTGCTCAGTGATAAGGGGCTGAATTGGCACTAATGACGCTCAGTCAGAGAAGTTATCAATCAAATGTCACATAAGGCTCGCCGCAAAACGAGACTTGGACGACTCCTGTAGATTCCAAATGGACCAAATTAGCGAGATGCCTCAAAGCCAACCTGATGCACTTTTTGTGCCACGATGCGAGGTGGACAAATGGTCTACCTGTGTAAAGTTAAACCCACGCCACGGCTCAGTAATGTGATGAAGTGATTACATACTGTATGATCTGTGTGACCAGCTGGTCATGGATTTAACACAAAAAAACCAAAGTTATTTGGCATGTTTTGAGAACAAAACAAAGTAGATGTTCATCACACATTTGCGTTGCTCTCTGAATTTACCCAGCTGAGTTCTGATCCATGCTTCCGCGTTTCTTGCTGTATTTTTGAAAACTCACGTCTGTGAGGGACTTGGCTGGCTCATTAGTGATTTTTGAACCAGAAGCTGTGCAGCCATTTTACAGAACTGTTTCTAAACAGAGCCTGTTGTGTGCACGGAGTTGGTGGGGTTCCTGTTTGTTTGTATTTTTATGACAAGAAAAGAACCTAATGTTGTCACAGCATTATTATCGAACCTGTAGGGTGTTATTCACAGCCTGCCACTTCTACGCACACACATTTTGACATCTTTGTAATTAAGTTTAATGAATAAAAATCTGATGATTCCTCTGCCGTCTTTTCCAGGTGACCGCGTGCGTCAGACCGAAAACCGTGCAACGCGCTGCAAGGTGGAGCGTCTGCAGCTGCTGATGCAACAGAAGCGTCTGCGCAGGAAGGCCAGGCGGGACCAGCGCGCTCCCTACCAGTGGCTGCCCAACCGCAAGGCCGGGCGCAGCAACAGCAACAGCAGCATGTCCAGCGAGGGCTCTCTGGATCTGGACTTTGAGGATTCCGTGTGGAAACCGGACGTAAAGGCCGATTTGAAGTCTGAGTTCGTCATGGCTTGAATCCTGCGCTCCGCTCCCATATCAAAGCTTCGGAGATGCGTTTCTTGGGATTTACTTGGAGACATATTATGGATGGAGTGCACTGACAGGATGTGTTACTTAACTGCAAAGAGGGAATCCAAGTTGTGACTGTTATTTGTCACATGAAACAAAAAAGCCTCCCTGCAGACCTTTATCCCATTCTGTCCTTCACAGTTGATATTGTGAAAAGCATCAACAATAGCAAAAGAGCTTTGATGTGATGCTTGGATTTGGACAGGCAACAACTGGACTTCATTATGTACAAGACTTTTTTTTTTGTTGTTTTTGTTTTAAAAGGTGTGATATCTGAGCTCACACCTGGACTTGAGCATAGCAGAACTTAGTGGGTGGTGTTTTTTTTTTTTTTTCTACATTTTTTTAAGTGCACTCTGGGCAGAAATGAAGAGATCCACACTGGACTTATGATCAAGACGAGGAGCAACAGAGACTGTGGAATTTACCAATGGGCATTTTTATTATTCTCAAGACTAACCGATCAGAGTCCAGATTTGTTTGCTGTTACGGGGTGGTTAAACTGTTTCTTCGCTCCTTTTTTTCCACTTTTAAGCATATTATATTTTATAAACAAAACAATATGTAGCATTGTTCACAAAGCATTCAGGTTTTCATATAACAGTTCAAAGTAGTTGTTTATTTGCACACAATCTTGATTTCAAACAGCTGGTCAAAATGTGCAAGGAGGAGGAGTAGGTGGGGCCTGAAATAGAAAGAAAAGGAATATTGAAGTATTGATATCAACCTCAGTGACGTAGGGTATCGATAGGAATGACTTAATAAATAAACAAGATGAATTAATATTAAACGAAGTGCTTTAGAGGATTTTAWAATCTTTAAAATATAAATTGGAAAACTCTATTTTTGTTTTCTCTTCCTATCTGCTGTTTTGTAAAAACAGCAACCCTCTGTGGCTTCAGTCAACATGTTGATGGCCAGTAAAAAATAAAAAATAAAATAAGTGCATCATTTCTGAATGATGTCGTCTTTCTCCAACAAAAGGATGCAGAGAGACGTTTGTCAACCAGCCCGGCTGATGTCACGCAGACCTGAATGGAGCTGTTGAGGGATTTGGAGTTTGTGTACATAAATGTGACAATAGGCAAATGTTTATGAGGGTGTGTTTGAAATTTGACTTCAACTATTCCACGTTGTTTTGTCCAGTTGTTTTCAACCGAATAACCCCAGATTATTTTTTCAAGCATCGGTTACAAATTAATACCACAACAAAATAAAATCAGAAGGCCCCTTTTGATGTCCAAGTCCTCCTGACAATGACTCTAGTGAAGAAAAAGAAACGGTGACATCATTATTACCTGCAGCAGTACATCCATTGACATATCAGGTTAGGCCTTTTTTATTCCTTTGTTTTGACAGTCTTGCTGCTACGTATGGTAGATTAAAAGAAGAAAATAAAAGCAAAAGAGGAAAAAGTGACTTATTTGCATGCAGAAGTGTAAACTCACAGCGATCTCTTTTATAATGACGAAAGAAAAAAACTGGTGTTTTTTGGTAATGAAGGTTAACAACATGCATGAACTTGTGAAGAAAACAAACAATGCTGCTTTTGTTGGTTCTGGTTTTTTGTGACTTAAGTTTCGATGTTAAAAACAACAGTGTCCTGCTAAAAAAAAAATAAAAAATCAAAAAACAGACAAACCAGATGAAGTGAAGTGCAGACCTGCGTTGTTGTTGCTCGGCACTGAACATTCCTGTTGTGTGACAATGAAGACGGTGACAACGAACAAAGAGCGAATGACTCTGTACCCCCCCCCCCCCCCCC